AATAATAATAAGAGCCAGACGGGTTTGATCTAAAAGCAACTAATACTAAGAAGCTATAAGAACTGTTTTATGGGCAGGATCAAGAGTCTTGTTTGTGTATATAATAATTAAGTCGAAATTAAAGAGCTGAACGTAAGAGCAAATATTTCTTTTAAGAGCTGGAGTTAGAAAACTATTTAGTAGACCATAGAGAGATGCAAACAATAAAATACTCAAAAAAAGAAACCTAGCCTAAATATCAGAAAAAGCTTTCTGACATTCTTAACTTTCCATTATCATATCTCAAAGAAGAAAAGACAAATACTAGAAAATTGGGAGGTAAAATTAAATCAATATTACTACATATTGATCCTTTTCCCTTTCAAATCATTTGAAGTATAAGAAGCATTTGGTAATATAGTAGCCATTGATCATTTAAGTCCATTAAATAAAATTATTTAGACTCTAGTACCATTTTTATGAACGAGTAAGGGTATAATGTCAATTTCCAGGATAAATTTACCTGTTAAATTAAGCCAACAGATATTCAGTACCAGCTAACAGCCATAATATTGGATGTTGGAGGTAAAAAAGGTAGAGATGCCTGCTTTCAAGGAGTTAATGATTCACTGGTGAAAATACATGAGTACAAAATGAGGGACAATGGGGCCAGCCCGGTGGCGCACTGCTATAGTGCGCTGCTTGGGAAGCGCGGTGGCGCTCCCNCCGGCTGACGTGGCGGGAGCCGGCGTCTTAGGCGCGCTCTGGGAGCGGAGGCTCTGGAGGCCCTGTGTCCCCTTGGGACTTCGCGGGGTAGCTTTAGGTAGGGCATTCTCAGGCCCTCCACTGCTCCAGCGAGAATCGGGGTGGGAAAGGTGAGTTTTAGGTCAAAGTTTCTGTCTGGCGAAAAGGCAGGCGTCTGCACAGATTCATTTTCAACACGGTTTGTGCAGAGTCATGCAGAGATACAGTTAAGGTCCTATCCGGGTAGGGAATGGCCTGTCCTAGCTACATGAAAATGCTGAATTTACTTAACGGATATGTTTTGAGCAGGTATCATCAGGACAGCGCTGGTCACTACTGGGAAAGAGTGGTGACCTGTCCCTTGACGGACCAGCATAGGGCGGGGGGGACGCAGTAAATAAACAAGCAAGGTTATTTCATATCTTGGCAAAGTGAAAAAGTTGGTGTCACAGGGATTGCCTGGGGAATGGAGGCGAGTGGGGAAGAAGCAGCCTGGTGTAGAGCAAAAAGCCCTGGAGTGTCGTCGCTTTTACATACAGCACACGTCACAAACATTAAGAAAATGAGTGTTGGTGAAAAAAATCGACTTATAACAGGCCCTGTCTTTTATTGTTGATTAACAATTTCAATGTTCACAGATTAATTACTATACCTAGAACTTGAAAGCCATTTCAACCGAATCAAGTTCTCTAGACCTTGGTATAAAACTGAGTTCAGAAGGTAAGTTTAGAAAGCAGCAGTGGAATACTTGCAGATTTATTACATATTTTGTAATAATAGGATATGTGAATTAATGAGGGGGTACTGCATTAATGAATAAGGAAACGACAGTATATACACACACAAATTCCCTCATTCCTTCTGCCTTCACACAGAAGTTTTTCTATTTAACTAAATTTATCACTATAAAGAAAATTTGAGAAATGCAGATATGTACAAAAAATCATTTTTTTATAAAAGGTTATTTTAAAATTAATTTCAGAGTTCTTCCTTGCATATGTCTGAGCTTACTCAAAAGAAAAAAAATAATAATAAGAGCCAGACGGGTTTGATCTAAAAGCAACTAATACTAAGAAGCTATAAGA